AGGATTATGGATTTTCAGTTTATGGGGTAGTCTGGGATGCATAGTCATGGAGAAAACTGCCAGTTTGGTTGAACACGTTGCCCATCGAATTTTGCCTCTAATTGTATTGTGCCTTGTGGAGGCGTACATGCAGGAAGGAAGTTTGAGTTAAAGCAGTGGCTGTAAACTTACTTGAATAGAGCAGCCTTCATAATCGAAGTTTAAAATTTGAAAGTTAAATGACTTTGAACTTTTGAAAGTTATGAAATTATAAAGTAATATTATGAATGGAATGATGTTAAGTACTTTTGGGATCTCCCAAAATGAAAATTGTGTGATATATAAGGGACGGATATGAACTATTAAATAAAGAATCCTGTGAGGAAATTAATTGTTGCCTTAAAAATTCGATGTGATGCATGGTTTTTATTTACTCATAAGGGGTCGTTTGGTAGAGTGTATTAGCAAAACTAATGCATGCATTAACTCGGTGTATTAGTAGTCCCTTGTTTGGTACACTTTTTCACTTTATTGTGTATTGAGGAGTGTATTACTAATACCATGGATTTCTAGGTATTAGTAATGCAAAGAGATTTAATACATGCATTAGCAACATTACTTTTATACACTCTACCAAACGACCCCTTAGTGATATTCATCTGCCAGGCTAATGCAAATTTCAAGAGAAGTTCTTCGCTTGCATTTGGTATCTAGTCTAAAAAAAAGTTATTGCACTTTCACATTCACGGAGATTGTTTACAAATTATAACCACTATGAATAATTTTCAGCTTTCTTGTATCGAGTTTATTACTGCACTTATTGAGCTGGTCCTTACTTTTTGAGTATCCTTGTTAAGATCCTGCAAGAATTAATCCCTATTCTAGAATGGTAGGATATTATGTGCCTTTTGCAAAGACATCTAAATATAATCACACACATTTAGGTAACATATTATCCCATTCTGTCTTAGGTCACAGATACACCCCATTTTTTTTTACTTGCACATGGCAAGTGTAAGTCCACACTTCCAAATCAAGTATATGTTCCTATTGAATATTTTTATTTCAACCTTTTCTAAAAGAGAATCAATAGTGTTCCCACTTGCCCTCCGGTGTGACTCGAAACCTCAACCTACCGGTTGATGGTGGAGATGCTCAATCACTTGAGCAAGCCTCACTTGTCCCTATTGAACGTTTTTCTGTGTTTCCCAATTTCTTTTAATAGTATATGGTGAATACTGAATTCTTAACACTGTTTAGATTTAGTGATTTGAAATCCATATAGTTGGACATACAATGGCTATATGCATGCATAGATTTGCAAAAGTTGATATTCTGACTGCTATGGTCCGAAGCTTCTTGTAACAATGAAGTTGCGATTTAGCATGAATTAGGAGTGCCATTTTATTTAGGTAGTCTTTTTCAGATACTTAGCTGACAAATGATAACAAGACCCAAATTGGTCTAAGAATTGAACTGAAATAGCTTCATTACTATCATCTTTCTCGGAGATATTTCGAGTTAGAATACAATCATGGTTTACATATGAAGTTTAATAGAATATCCATCAACTTAGGAATTAGGATGTTGTGTCTGATTGCTGAAGGATACATATAATCAAAGGTTACGTGATGCAAAAGATTCACAAACATATCCTTTATCATAGAAACCTGAGAACCTCGCTAATAGTAGAACTTTTTCATAAATGAAGGTTCCTATGGTAACAACTGAGTCAGGCTTGCAGTATAAGGACATCAAAGTTGGTCGAGGCCCTAGTCCTCCTGTTGGTTTCCAGGTATGTATCCTGATTTCTGATACTTCTTATGTAAAAGTGAAGGACAAATTACGGTGCAATGAACTTTCTTCTTCACCAAACTAGCTTGTTACCTTACCCATTTGGTAATTAATGGTAAAATATTATGCTGCTTTATCTTCTCAAATCACAAAGTTGTCTTTTATCGCGAATAACTTGAAGGGAATTGAGGAGAAAAGGACATGCAAAAAATTGAGAAAAGAGTAGTCTAGTCAAAGTAATGCATCATTATTTAAGGTGTAAGAAGAAATATCTGGCTCTTTCAACATATTTTGAATTATCATGTGGAAGAAAAGATGTCTGGCTCCTTCATCCGTGTAAATTCTATTTCTATTCTTTAGTTTGATCAGTCAAATTTTGTTTCATGATGACAGGTCGCTGCAAATTATGTTGCCATGGTTCCCTCGGGACAAATTTTTGACAGGTCATTACACTAATTGCACTCTGATTGGTTTGTTGAATATTTTACAAAATTGTATACAAGCTTTGGCTTTTTTGGTCATTTGGAAATTGCATTCGCTGAAGCATATGAATGTAATATGCCTTAATACAGTAAGGCGATGATGTTTGTATGTGCTCGTGCAGCATGGCATATTTATAAGGAGGCATGTAATGTACTGATCCACAGCTAAATAGCATAATGATACTCAGAAGAAAAACAAAAAGACTCAAATTTTAAATTAAATGTATATATAGCCTCCAGAAGAAAAGAGATAAGGAGGAAGGTTCTCCTTGTAAATATTTTTGTTACAGTTTCTTCTTTAGATTTGGTGCTTGTTTTGGACATGAAGGAAAGTTGCAGAAGTTATTCTTTTCGTTTTCTCACAATGCTCATACATGTAACCTTATAAAAATAACATGGCATTTCTCGTTTAAGAAGTCTGATTCTCCTTTCCTTCAAAAAGCGCATGCATTCCTAATTCTGCATTTAGGATAAATGAGGTTTACAATTCATTGTTTCTTCCAAGTCTTAACTCTCGCAAGATTTCTTGATTTCTGAATTAACAGCTCCCTGGAGAAAGGTCGACCTTACATTTTCCGTGTAGGCGCTGACCAGGTAAACTTTAGTACATGTTCATGAAAATTTGTAGTTAGTTCATACATGACTAACTAATTTCAACGGCTAGAGTAGGTAGTCAAAGGACTTGATGAAGGGATCTTGAGCATGAAAGTTGGAGGACTACGTCGACTCTATGTACCTGGATCTGTAAGTTCTCTGCCTTCTGAATTTCTCATTCTACAGATGCAAGGCAAATGAGAAAAAGATAATAATCAAACCATTAAGCAGGGGTAAATGCTTCTCTGTGGGATTGACAGGTTTAGATATAGCCCCTTTGAGGACGTTTGGTAGAATGTATTAAAAAAAATAATACATATATTAGTTGTGTGTGATTTAATTCTTTATTCAGTAGGATGTTCACCCTATTTATAGGGTGTATAACTAATACATAGCAAATCATGGTATTAAGAAGACGAGTTACTAATACATGGATAAACAATGTTAAAGATAGAATTTCCCTTAATACATCAAACCAAACACTGGATATGAAATAATTACAACATTATTAATCCCCACATTACTAATATACCCTATTCAATACTACTCTTATACACTCTACCTAACGACGCCTTAGTTTCTTATTTGGGAAAAGAAAGAAAAACAATATCTCTAGTTGCTTACACAAATAAGAAGCTACCCGCAAGGCTGCAATATTTCAAAGCCTTGAGGTTTCTCAAACTTTATCCTCCTAATAGTTTGTTCTGCTTGATGAGAAGTTATTCAAAATAATGTCCCGAGGATGGCCTAATACTTTGGGCGGGGGTTTCGTGAACTTGAACCTTTTCATATAAGCAATAGCTTACGGTCAATCTGTTTAACGTGCATGCTTTACTGCATTCTTGGCAATTGACTTGAAATCATCCAAGATAAATGCAGATCTTTTATCAGACCAAGTCTCTTACACATATTTCTGTTGAATAGTTGGCGTTTCCAAAAGGCTTGACATCGGCTCCTGGAAGGCCAAGAGTGGCTCCTAACAGCCCAGTGGTATTCGACGTGAGTTTGGAGTTCATACCAGGCCTTGAATCCGACGACGAGTGATCATTTTACATTTTTTTTTCTTGTATTGTTTTCCCCTTGGCATGTATCTATAAAGCTAAGGAAAGGCTCATGTAATTATACTATCATTATTCCTACTGCATTTCTTTATTATATGCTCATTTTCTTTGTTGTATACAGTCCAGTTTTGCTATTGTATTTTAGTTCTTGTAAGTGCATATATGTACATGAATATAGACATGACAAAGAAATGTTAAAGAAGATCTTGAAGGGGAGCCTTGACGTAATTAGTAAAGTTGTTGTCATGTGATCAGGAGGTCACTAGGTTCGAACTGTGAAAATAGTCTCTTGCAGAAGTGCAGGGTAAGGTTGTGTATGATAGACCCTTGTGGTCGTGCTCTTTTCCAGACTCCGCACATAGCGGAAGCTTAGTACAACATCTGGCTACCTAATTGGTTAAGAATTTCGAGCTAAAATATGACGAGACGAGAATATGGATGAGCTAAACTTTTTATTTCCGCAAAGTTCAAAGGCAAACTTTGTACTTAGTAATTATCTCTTTGTGACCTATAGGTTACTATTCGAGTTGTGGAAAGTCACTTATACTTGTATTAGTTACATCACACTTCTCAAGGTGCGATTCGGGTCGAATCCAAAGATTACCATCCTAGAGGAGAGGACAAATATATACAAACATAATTTTCTTGGAAGTGACTTTACAACCTTTCAATCTTTTTATGGTTACAATTTGCAAATATGATGGAATAGTGGTCCTGAATATAGAGTATTTACTGCTCTGTATAACAAACTAGTACTCTGTACCAACTGACACTGGGAGATCTACAATGATTTGAATTATCCGGAGAATGCAATGCCTGATATATTTATATAAAGTAGATAATCAAAACTATTTCTCGATTCACTCAAAGAGGTTGTATTAGGTATGGTTTGAACAACCAAATAGCTTATGTTTGACTTTGTATTTACATTAGGAATATTTATGGAATTGATGGCAAATTCAAAACTCATAAATTATAAATTTTCAATAGGGAGGGATAAACATTAATATCATAAGCACAAAAGTTTAAAACTTTCAAAGTATGTACATCTTGTTCAGCAACTTATAGCACCAAAATTATTAGATAGATGTTGAGAAAAATCTCTCAAATAGACAACTTAATAAATCTTTATTAGAATATACTAGACTAGAACATATCGAAAATCGAACAATAACAACACTACATGCAATGAAATTTCCTTGTCAGAATTCCTGGTTCCGCCACTGAGTAACCGAAAAGGTTACATGATAGAGCAAGCATTAGGATTCTCATCACTGAAAATCTGAGGGGGTAATTAGCATACTCCATGAAAATGTAGTCCCTTTGATGCATATATTCATTTTTCTTGATATCTATTGTTGTCTTATCATCTTCCTCTTTGCCTTTTTCTTCTTCACTTTCTTTCTTTTCTTCTTTTTTCTCTTCTTCTTTCTTCTCTTCTTCCTTTTTTACTTCTTCTTCCTTCACTACTATAGCTTGCTTCCCTGTCCTCTTGTACACGTCGTTCGCTAACTTCTCTGGATCAACGACACCTTTTACTACTACTTGATTGTTTCCTAGGTCCGTCGTTACAGATTCAACACCTACAATTTATACATATGTGAGGATTCAATAAGAATTGACTAGTTTTACGTTGACTGTCAGTATAAAAGTTGGTTATAATAATGCACAATAATATATTTGATAATGTATGCATTTGCAAGTTCATTACAAATGTAAGGACTAAACATGAATTGACTAGTTTTACACTAATTGTCAACATACAAGTTTGTTATACTAATGCATAATAACATGTTTGATGTTTGTCATGAATTGACTAGTTTTATGTTGACGGTTAGCATACAGGTTCGTTACCATAATGCATAATAATATATTTGATATGTGCATTTGCAAGTAAGGATTCAACATGAATTGACTAGTTTTACGTTAGCTGTCAACCAACAAGTTCGTTACAATAACGCATGATAATACATTTGAAATTGTAAAATATGGAAATCATATGATATATGTACCTTGAATTTTTCGGATTCGTTTCTGCATTACTTGTGCACAAGCTTCACAATGCATCTGAACTGTCATCTTCACTGTTATGACCGGAGGAGGCTGTCCATTATGTGAAAAACATATGACATTTTTCGCGTTAATGCACGTACTCAGTGACTAGTTATATTATGAAATATAGACAAATTGACAAAGACAGAGCAACTATAATTTGCTATTCTAAAGTAAAATGCAAATCAATGTCTCAACAAAAAATATTACGTCTCAATCCCAAATAAGGTAAGGGTCGGCTCAAAGGTGGAGCCATTACATCGCGTCTCTGTTGAAATGAATCCTGTTAGGGGTCTGCTATATGAATCTTGACTGACTATGTTGAAAAATTCGACCCCCAATCCCCTTAGAACAACATTGTCGTCCCACTAACGAATTTAAAATTTTAAATTTATTAGCGTTACGCCAACTCTTCCCCCCTTAAAGCCACTAAGGTCAAGATTTTTTGTTAGTTATAACTTAAAAGTTGATCATATAATATATCCATTTTCTAAGCATGTTTACTTCATTTAACCTCATCTCAAGCCGATACGATATGATATATTACATTAGCACAACAAAAATATGATAACACGATAAATTTGTGAAACGAGACGTAACAACCATCCAACCAAGATGTAAGTTGTTGTATTGGGATTGTTATTTTATAATATTGTACATAACTATATGTTATATTCAGAATACTACAAAATATTGAAATGTCAGTCTCGAGAATCCCTTATAGGCCCCATTTCAAGATTTTACTATACTGCAGGATGGCAGAGTAGCCCACCTACACTTCATTCAAACAATTTTTGAATTTACAAAAAATAATTTAGATTTTACAATTTTTTTAATTTTATTTGTAATAATAAGTTTCTATAGACACACAAATATTAAGTATACTTTAAGTTCATTACATACGTCTTCAAAGTATGATATGTTAAAGATATAGACGGATCGAGAGTTAGAAGGGTGTAAGAATATTTGTCCAAACCTCCTTAACGAAAAAACACAATGTAGATAAATTTAAACTTTTTTTTTATTTTACATATATATATAATAGATGATAAAATTTTTCGAGTCTCTGTCACTCTATCTACACCACACATTGTTTAGTGTGCCCTTCACCCCCCCCCCCCCCCCCCCCCCCACCGCCACTTTACCCCCCAAGTGGATTGCTCAGAGAGTTGTCTTTTTTGCTAAACTTTTTACTGTAAAAACTATATGTTATGTTGCTTTCATTGTCAGCAGGATACAACAGCCATAGGCTGTGGTTGCTCTATTAATTCCCTTAACACTAAAAGGAAAAAATACTACACCACATACTTCGTTTGAATTATTTAAAAAATGTATAATATTTGTATCGAATTTTTCAAAAATATAATTAAATATTAATTATTTAGTATCTTACCCTAGGAAGGGTTCATCTAGTACCTGACCGATAATTTAGACAACATGCCTCAAGTTTTTTCTCCCAAGTGTGGAAACCCTAGAATCAGAAATAGTAGGATTGATTCGAAGTAGTAAGACTGAAAATAAAATAAATATATTTAATGTTGTCATATTAAAAAAAAAAGTATTTGTGAAGGACTCGACACACACTTATCGACATTGTTTAAGTACGCAATGAATAGTGATTAATTAGGGTAGTTTGATGCATGAAGTACATACACACAAAATTCAGAGAAAAACCATACCTCAAACGAGTATAATGTAGTTAGTTTATCCTGACGCAAGCATATACCAATAGCTAATTTCATGACTCGAACTCAAAATATATTAGATCACATCACATGAAAATAACTTTACCGATTAATTAAACAATAATAATATTTACCTCATCTTTCTTCTCTTCTACTTTTGGCAACACCTCTTTCTTTTCTTCTTCTTTTTTATGTTCTTCTGGTGGTTTTGGCAAAGGTGAAATCAATTCCACTTTTCTACCACTTTTTTTTTTAATTCTTTCACACACTTTGAGAGGATCTGCATTTTTCCCTTTTATCACCACTTTGCTAGCCTTAGAATCTGCCTTTACTTCCTCCACTCCTATTCATTTACCATAAACAAAAAAAAAAAAAAAAAAATTATACTCAAAAGTCTTCTTTCCTTTTTTTAACCATATGATACAAAAAGAAAAGATATTATAATTATTACAATAAATTAAAGTTGAATATGTCTCGTTCAATACGAACTTGTGAAAGCAGTCACTAATGATTATAATAGGATAGATGGTATGGTATGAATCATACATTTTTTGGGGTGCAACCTCCTATGAATTCTATTAACGTGGAATATTTTATGTACTCCTTCCATTTTATATTAGTTGATTATTTTCTTTTTTACACACATTAAGAAATCACAATTAAGAAGCAACTTTACTAATTCACCCTTCAAAAAATTTCTTAAAAATTTTACAAACAAAAATATGAACACTTTTAAATTGTATGGGGTAATATAGGAAAAACTTAACTAATGTTTTCTTGATTTAATAAGGTGGATAACTAATATACGTTAATTATTTTAGTAAGATGATCAACTAATATAAAATTGATGAAGTATCATATTGTCCTTTTTTGTGTTTTGTTTTATATGTTAAGCTTTGTTTATTGTGTGCATTTCAAGAATTTATTATTAATAGTTGAATTGAAAAACGTGATAATGAGATAGGAGACCATAGAATAAATTAATGAAGTCCCAATATATAGTGTATTCTTTAATCAGAAAGAATATTTAATTTTTTGTTTAAAAAAAAATTGAATTTAACTTATATTAACTCAAGATATAGTTAAATTTTATATTATCACAAAAAAGGGTCGAATTTGACACTAAATTATTCAAAATTGAGCATCCTTTTCTTTCGTTGCGGTTAAAAGATAATTTTAAATCATAATTAAAAGTTGAAAAGATAAATTTAAACTTTTTATCAAAAGGCACATGTTAATAGCATGGGTATCTCCGATACAATTTGCTAATGACAAGAATATAAATCGAACAAAACCATTAACACATAGCATCTTACTTGAGCAATTTTGAATAATACTAGGTTATGCATTTGAACATTTTTCTTACTATTAATGTCCTTTAACTAATTCACTCGTCATAGGTAATTATTATTTAATTAAAAATGAATTATTAATTAAGGAATAAATTAAATACCTTGAAAACCTTTGAGGGATCTTGCAACTTTTCTTGCACAAGCTTCACAATGCATATCAACTTTAAGCACAATTTCTTGAATTTCATCTTCTTTTTTTTCCTCTACTTTTTTCTCTTCTTCTTTCTTTTCCTCCTCCTTTTTTACCTCCTCCCCTTTGTTCTCTTTTTCCTATCAAAATCACACAATAAATAAATAAAATTAAAATGGGAATTAATTAAAAGTATACATATATAGATTCTTCATCAAAAGGACAATGTAGAGTGTTTATGTTATAGGATTTATCTGAATTCAGTAATTTTGGTTCAATTTTATGATGCATAGAAATTTTAAATTTTGTCTCATTAAATTTGAATCTTGAATACGTTTTTGTTATCATCGTACAACATTAATTCTTGTTACAAAACTCACTAAGCAAGTATAAATAGTAAATTTCAAACTTGAAACTATAAAATTCAAATTTTGAATTTGTATGTTTTATTAATGTAGAAAAATAAAAAGATTTCAAACTCAAAATCATAAAAGTTCAAATTTTGTATTCTTGTTACAAAAAATTCACTTAATAACTACAAGAATGATAGATTTGGAACTCCAACTCATAAAATTCAAATCTCGAGTATATCACCCTTGCTATCAGTATGGACAAGATACTTATACACTATCAATATTCTCCATTGACAAACTGTATATATATGAAACTTCAACAAAACAAAATTTTAGATTGATTTATGGATTGTTGAATGTTTTTTTTTTGGAGTGTTTGAACATACCTCAGCCATGTAGTAAAAAATCGTCCAACAAACTCTTGATTTTCAATGAAAAACTTATAAAGTAAATGAAAAGTTTTTCCTTCTTTAAAAACACTCTCTCTATATATATAGAGAGAGAAATAGTCAAGGATAGATTTGGTGTATCTATTATGAAATTTATCTGAACTCAATAATTTTGACTCAACTTTTGTATACGTTACAAAAATTACTAAAGAAATACTCCCTCCGTCTCATTTTATATGTCACATTTTTACTTTGCATTTGTATTAAGAAATGATGTAACTTTACTCTTCTACCCTTTTTTTTTTTTTAAACTCAAGTTTTCAATCAATGAATATGAATTAATTTATTTTGATTAATTAATTTAACCAGTGAACATGAATCATTTACTTAGCTTTTCTAAGTTGGTCAAATGTATATTTTCAAGGCTAATAACTCACAAGGGTAAAAAAGGAACAATATGGTATTTTATGCATTGATTTTATGAAATGACAAATATTATGAACCAACTATTTATAAAAAGGGATGACATATAAAATGGGACGGAGAGAGTACAAATAATGATTTTTTTACGTTTCACGAACTAAAATTCATAAAATTCAAACCTTCAATAGTTTACGTTAAAAACTATGAAACTAAGGAAAATTAAAAAATATAGATTGTAGAATTAATGTGTTTGAACATACCTCACCCATGTAGTAAAAAAGCTCCAACAAACTGTTGATTTTTTTAGTGTAAAAATAAAGTAAATGAAAAGTTCCTCTTCTTTTTTCCTTCTTTAAAAGTACACTCTCTAGATAGATATATAGGGAGAGATACATTTATTTAAGATGGAGGAAGAATGAGGTGACACTTTAAAAAAGTAAAAATTTATCCGTATCAAGCGTTTATATTATATCAATACATAAATAATATGTATTTGAATATATATATCATCTTAAAGTATGTATATATATTTCTCTTTATTATATTACTTGACTATGATAATCTGAACTGATTTGATATAAATACTTTGTGTGCATAAGTTTGAAAATATAAATGATAATAATGTTAAGGTTTTGCCCTGATTTTCTTACCATAATTTAAGATTTATTTTTCTTTAAAGAAAAGATAAAACATTACAATAAATGTTTTTACTTTTCTTGAAAGGAAAATATAATATTCTTTCATATTTGGTTTATTCTCTCCTTTTAGGACTTTTTTTCTAGTAAGAAAAAGTTTTAGGACTCTATAAATATAGGCTTGTTTCTTCTAACACAATAACAATAATATTCACAATGTAGTCGATTAAGAGTCTTGTTTATGGGGAGATTTATTCTCTCTAAAGTTTCATTGTTTTCCTTTATATTAGTTTTGATATAATAATATTTTTGATTTTTTAGTATAAGTTTTTGTTATCTGATTTATCAACTATATGATTTGTAAATTGTAAGCTTCCACATAACGCCCTAATCACCCTTCGAACCCAACAAGTGGTATCAGAGCACATGGTCCAACGATCCCATGGTCCGATGATCCTATGGTTCAACAAGATTGAAGAAAGGTTCAAGTGGTTTCAAATCAATTTGCAACAACTTTGATGATAATGAAGATTTTTGTCGAGCTACATGTGGAGAAGAAGTTTCAACCATGTCACGCCCCGAGCCTACACCCTGGACGTGGCCGGCACTCGAAGACCATTTCTGGTCCCCAAGCGAACCCTCATCCTGGCTGACTCCAAGCGGAATACTAACTTAAGCATACAAGAGCTTAAAACTGAATAAGAGTTTATAAACTCAACTTTATAAATCTTTAACTCAAAAGAAAACTCTGTATAATAGAATATATATACAACTCGCCATAAAAGGCAACTTTAGTCTTCAAAACATTTAACAAAATAAATGAAGAGACTTCTGAAACTCTATTGTCTATCTATGAAGCCTCTAACTGATAAAGATGGAAGCCGGGACAAGACCCACGACCTCCTAACAACTGATACAACTGAAAGGTAAATGAAATCCTCCGGAAGCAAAGAGGCTTGTCATAGCTAACTGGAACTCCCGGATGTATCAACGAATCTCCTGTTGATGATCCTGAATACCTATGTCTGCATCATAAAAAGATGCAGGCCAAATGGCTCAGTACGTGGAATGTACGAGTATGTAAGCTAGAAAGCTAAACAACATAGGCTAGAAGAAAAACTGGAATAAATTGAATAACTTACCTCTTTTCAAACTTTCTCAACTCAAGGAATACCCAAAACTACTCAAACTTACTCAACTCAGAAGATAGATACTGGACTCAGAGACAGATACTCAACTCAAAGATAGATACTCAACTCAAAGATAGATACTCAACTCAAGATAGATACTCAACTCAAGATATATACTTAACTCAAAGATATATACTTAACTCACAGATACTTAACTCAAGGATACTCGACTCTTGAATAACTGAACTCAACCTGACTGACTTCTTTCAATATAAGGCAATTTAAAACAAGTGCGATATAAAGAAAGACTGTTTAAAACATGCTATAAACTCTGAGTGTATACAAGGATACAATAAGCCTGAGATGTATATAGAAATACAATTGAACTGATGTATATAAAATACAATAATTTCTGTGTATGAAAATACAATAACTGCTGTGGGAGTTTCTTTAACCGACAACCATCACATAAGAGCTATAGTGATGATACAGCGATCGACCTCACGCTGCCAGAGCATCTTATACCCGGCCAAAGGTATAAGACCTGAACTGCCTAATGGATCCACTAGTCTAATCTGAAAAGGATTCATCTAAAAAGTATGATCCTTTTCTACCCATGGTGGCTAACATGGTTCTATGGGGGCTGTGGGTTCTTTGAACGCTCCCCCAATTCGGTGCTCGATACTACTCCCAAAAATGTACTGGCTCTTATGTTTTTAAAACATATTTATTCCTGCTGATATGAGATAATTACTCAAAAACTAGCCCGAAGGCTTTTTTGGAAATCTCAGTTTCCAACCTTGTTTAAATGTAAAAACATTTCTTTAAAACTTCTTTGGGAATACATAGTTCCCTAATAACTTTGAGAAATGAACTCAACTCTTTACTCTTTACTTTACTTGAAACTCGATACTTTGACTCAACTTGAAACTCTTTACTCAACTTGAAACTCTTAACTTGGAACTCTTCATTCTTTACTTAACTTGAGCCTTAAAATGAAGTTAAAACGATCAATGAAGACTCTTGGAAAACCTTAAAGACTTGTTTTGACTTACTTACTTCTAAGCTTGACTTCACTTGACTTGGAAACTAACTTCACTTGACTTTGAAACTAACTTCACTTGACTTGGAAACTAACTTCATTTGACTTTGAAACTAACTTCACTTGACTTGGAAACTAACTTCACTTGATTTGGAAACTAACTTCACTTGACTTTGAAACTAACTTCACTTGACTTGGAAACTAACTTCACTTGACTTTGAAACTAACTTCACTTGACTTGTAGTTTTACTTGACTTTTGGAAGTACCTTGGAGTGTTGGAAACAACTAGGAAACATAGGTATAATACCTAGGAACATGTATAAAAAAAGAAATGGTGAATGAAAGGGAAGGATTGGTGTCCTTGGCACTAGGAGAGGTGCAACAGCCCAACCCCTTTTTCCCCAAAAATCCGACTTTTTCCCCTTGTTTCTTTCCAATTCTAAACCCTCTCAACCTCAAGGTTTCAGCAGCAACACTTAGAATCATAAAGATCCTTATTATACAATAGATTCAACTCAAAAATCACAGCCAGAAATCTGTACTAAATCAGCAAGAACTTCAACACAACACCACTACAACTTCAACAACCAATAAATCTTCTCTTGGAATTAAAAACGAGTTGGTGTGTGGGGGTATGAACCAACCAACACTAAGGATCATAAAATCCCTCAATATACAATAGGTCACAACTCAAATACACAGCCCAATCCTGTCCCACAACCAACAATAACTTCAACAACACAACTAACAACATCAACAACAACTAACAACTTCAACAACAAATCCAATCTCTTCTCAAATCATAAAGACGAGCTTGGTATGTGGGGGGAAAGGATAAACCCACACTAAAGACTCACATACCTGATTAGGGATCACCCCCGACAAAAATCCACGACGATCCTTAGCTTCTTCTTCTCTTTCTCCTCTTCTTTTCCTCTTCTTTCTCTCTTATCTTCCAAGCCCTAACTCTCACTCTTACTCTCACTCTTTAAAATGGGACAAAAATGATCCAAACATCAGTCTAACACCTCAATATAACCCAAAGAAAAGATTAGGGAAAAGACCAAAATACCCTTAAAATTTTCGGACTAAACAAACTGCACTGTGCGACTGTGCCAACAACCCAACTTCCAAAGGGCATAAGTCACTCATACGAACTCGGAATCAAGCAAACTCGGCGGCGTTGGAAAGATCATTCCAAGGGCTTTCCAGAAATAACTGGAAATTCGCCTAAATCATTTTGAGCTAGGAGATACGACTGCTCAAAGTTGACCAAAAACTCACCTTTTTTCCATAGCCAAATTTTCCAGATTCTTTCCAAAATGACTATTTCCAATTCAACTCTTCTTGGAACTCAATGTGCTACACCTAGGGACCTTAACTTAACACTCAAGAAATTTTTTATTCCTCGGTAAAATCCCACTCCACATGAAGGATGGCTCGAGTCTTAGTTCGAAAATTCTCTGGGGTGTTACAAACCATATTTTCAACATTCTTGTTGCTGCAATTTTTTTAAATAAAAATAAAATATTTTAAACCCATTTTTAATCCATATGTTTTAAACTTTATTTTAAACCATGGCAAGTAACGGTGATGAAGATTTTGTGAAGAACAAGGTTATCATGCAATGAAGAAGACAGATCAAACTTTGTCAAGAAAATTCAGCCAAAATGGGAGATTTGTTAGGGTTTTGCCCTGATTTTCTTACTATAATTTAATATTTATTTTTCCTTAAAGAAAAGGCAAAACATTACATAAATGTTTTTACTTTTCTTGAAAGGAAAATATAATATTCTTTCATATTTGGTTTATTCTCTCCTTTTAGGACTCTAGTAAGAAAAGGTTTTAGGACTC